TGATTAAGGCATGTTTGGCTCAATCACTATATTTTGACGTTAACAATCTGCCATTAAGTTGTGTACCATTATTAATGACTCACTCTGTATTATGTACCTTTTATAAAACGGCAAAAATAATTATTTTAAAACATAAATTAGTTTTATTTAAAATTAGTAACATATCTACTTATCGATACCAGTTAATATTTAATAAATCATGTATGAAAAAACTATTTTTTTAAACCAATAGAATAATATTAAAAATATGGTAACATTATAATAACACATCGCTAAGCCTTGTGAAAATAATCTGTTTTACTAAATTATTTTCTATTAACGCTCTATAATAGTTGTTAAAGAAGGTAACAACTGGCAACACTGATAATGCACTGTTACAACTTACCCAGCTAATTCAGGGAAGCGTGTTTTACAGTAAACAATTAAAGTGTAGTTTAAAAAACTGATTATTGCTACACTATTTATTTTATTTAAAAAATGAATCTCACATTCGTATTCAAGGAAACACGTACTAAGAAACTGATCCTCACTCAAAGTTATACCCTACATGTAGGTTTGATAGATCTCTTTTTAATAATAAGGGAGACATGACCAGAAGACTATGCTAACAGTAAATTCTTTTTTTAGCCATCTCTCTCTTATTATTAGAGATAGACTTATCAAAGTTTATATCACTGTTATGTTAAGACACGAAATATATAGAGCATCTGTCAAAATAAATAGTTTGGAGTGTATGTCCAAAATGTAACATGCAGTTCGTTTCGTAGATACGGTTTTGGAATTATAATAAAAATTTCGTACAACCTTGACACAGCATTTGTTTCTAAATACGAAAGTAAAAAGATAAGGAGGAGGGGGGCGGCGAGGATTAATGTTGTGTGAATAACCCTGTACAAAATAAAGCAGTTTTAAGGGTAATTGATTGGGAATAGCGAACAACAAATTACAGTAGTTTCCAGCGCAGTTTTCGATAACAACAAATAGCAACAATAGTTTTTAATAACAAATAAAAACGTAATCTTAATATTTTAAGTGTATTGTGATGTTAAACATATGATAAACGAAATATTAAACATTGCTGTTTTAAGGGTTGTCGACGAGGTGGTTTTCTAGGTCAGGTTAAATGCAATTTTAAATTTTTTTTTTCAAATTTGGTGTCGCAAGAAATACGATATTCGATATATAAAATATAGCAGTTTTAAGGGTTAACGCGTTTTAGCATTTGACAGGGTAAAAAAAATTATAAAGGCGTTACTATTTTAACTGAACACTTATAAACTGAAAGTGGAAATAAAATGGCCATTTTTTTAACAAACAAATGTGCAATAACATTATACAAATGGCTTTCAGAAGGAACGTCTGTTTCAATACATATCTAACTGAATCTAAATAGAAAAAGGATGCGTGCTTCAAAATATTCTATTTAGAAATAAAATTCAGATATACATTCCTCGCACACGCACAAGGGGCACAAAAGCGCTATCGAAACTTTAGGAACGACTTTCTGAAACTTAAAGGTTTCCAGTAAACAACTGCAATTCAGAGTGAGATTAGGTTTACTGTAACTCCCTTCACCTTTCCATTACTTTGTCACTTAAAGGGAAAGCCGCCTTTACGCCGAAACATAGAAACGCACCAAAGCCGGTATAACGCAATTGATTCCTGCCCAATCGTTTTAGCTCACTTGCCTTCAAACGGTATATCCCAGGTCAAGGATAAACAGAAATAACATGAGAAAAAGTTGTAGATGCGTTATATAAGCCTTTTCGTTTATAATGTCTCTACCAGTCATGTATTCTTTACAAAACGTAACCAAGTAATTTGTAATTAGTTCTATATCTCACAATATCGATTATTTGGAACAGAAAAATGATTGGATGGATCAACTTGTCAATGTACAGGGTTATTGTGATTAGACTGAGCTATAAAAAATTCTCTCAACGTTAGTCTTTTCATCAGTATTTGTAAATTAGCGGTAGATTTTCTAAAAAAACATGAAAAGTCATTTTTTGCACCTTTTTCAAATTAATGTCAAAGATGAAAAAACATTTTTTATTCGAATACCACGATAGATCCTTGTAGAGGATTTATTCAATTTTTCAAATCCGCCCTTGTATTTACTGTATAATAATTTGTTGATGAGATATCGATGATTAAAGACAAAAGTGTCATTTTTCATTCAACCATCAATATCTCGGTAACTAATAGCCGTACGGAGACTTTTAGAAAAATAATTTGAAGCTGACTAAACAAGCTAATTGTCCTCTACATTGAATGAGTTAAAAAAATTCCTGACTTTATGGACAGTAAAAACAAATTTCTCGAGATATTTTATTTGATTTCTCGTTAATCACAGCTCAAAAAAAAAATTGGTCAAAAGAACTTGAAACTGCAGACTTTAAGCTTCTGTAACCTGAGGGATTATTTCTTTACTTATCTATATATCATTATCACCAGTATCATAACGAGTCTGGATTTCAAAAGAGTTTACTATTTAATTCTCGAAAGGGAGTTTTTATTACACATTAATTAATACGTGGGAACTTAGAAATGTTGTATGTTCAGAGAATGAATTCCAGGCACTTACCCTCTATTGCTTACGTAGAATGTAACCCAGTGGCTGGCTATACAGGGTGACACTGAAGTTGAGAGAAACAAAAGGAAACACCAAAACTTCCAGGAAGGGTTTTAATAACAATAAAAACAGAACAAACAAACAAAATAACGACAAAACGGGCTCGAACAACATTATTAATTAATTTATTGACACGCGAGAGCGTACCGAGATTCAGGGATTGTGCGATCTATAGCAACATTTGGAATGACTTTATTCATTATTAAGTTAACCCTAGACTCTAAAACTAAGTAGACTGCTCAATGTGGAACCCAAGGAAGAACTGCTTTCTTCGAAGATATCTCCTGAAATCGACACCTCGCTTCGACACGCCCATTTCTTGGGTCCAGAAGTTTCTGTTCTTATCTTGTTGGCGGGGACCCTGAATGTTGGGACGCTTTGGCATAACTATGCCATGTTAATAATAACCTAATTGACTGAACCTACATTTATATAAATAATTTTGAGACTAAACTTACAAATAACCCTAGCCTTCCTCTAGTGACTCCGTGTAGCAGTACGGGACGGATTAGCAAATCTCATTTAATATATTCTTAACACGTTGACTGCGGTACATACCTCGGGGGGTATGTACTCATTATAAAAAATATGCGAATCTCAATAATCACATTTTTACTGTATCTTGTGAAAGTTACAGAATCTGTAGTTTTTAGTTAAGTAGTTATAAATAATGATTTTTCAAAACTCTTTGCGACTGAAAACGTTGGTATCCTAGGATATATAGTTACAGACACATGCAAGTTTATAGGAATAATTGTGTTATTTTTAATTTTATAGAGGTCAAATGTAAAAAAAAATACATATTCCCAGGGATGTACCGCACACAGCAGAAGTTTTGTTACATATCCCTGAAGATATGTATCGCAGTCACGGACAAAGTACATTGAGATTATGTCGCAGTCAACGTGTTAATAGCTTGGAAAATCCGCCTAAAAACCAGCTATTTGATCTATTACTTTCCTTTCCAATTATTATCAATTTAACAATTTGATTTNAGAAGTTTTGTTACATATCCCTGAAGATATGTATCGCAGTCACGGACAAAGTACATTGAGATTATGTCGCAGTCAACGTGTTAATAGCTTGGAAAATCCGCTTAAAAACCAGCTATTTGATCTATTACTTTCCTTTCCAATTATTATCAATTTAACAATTTCATTTAATTTGGAACCTCTACGCTCTTCTCGTGGTTTCGCGCGTTATTAAAAATATGCGACAGATGACTGTCACATGGCCCCGGCTCTAAGTGAACTTGTTCAAAAAATGTAGCTAAATTTCTCCGAAGGACGACGCTAAACGTACTTAAAAGCCCTTAACTTTCGATAATTTGTGTTGACTGAAATATTTTACTTTTTGGCCCGTCCGTTCCAAGAACTAACAAATAAATTACTACGCGTCCCGGCTTTTGTTACATTTCAAAACCCCCATTTTTTTTGTTTCTTGGCACGATTATTTTTTTTTTTACAGATATACAGCCTTTCAAAAGTCGCTAAATAATTTATGAAATATTTTTGTTCCCTTAATTTTTTACAGTAATGTATAATAATGTTTAAAAATAGACATTCAAGGTTACAATAATTCGCATAAAGTTGAAAATTGGTACGAATGTTGGGAACACCATTATAAATGAAATGTGAGAAGTCCATCGATTCCACATCTACAAAAAAAATTATTCAAGGTCAAAGTTCACAAATATGGGTTTTTTGCATTTTTCAGCCAAACGGTAAGTTTTATCATAAAAATAGATCAGACAGAAATTGTAGATAGTAGATCATGCAATTATCTATAAAGATTGTCTTTACACTTTTTTCCTAAGAATCACCATTTCTGAGATATAGAGAATTTTCAGGAGGGGTAAAACGACAGTTTTTAAATTGTTTGAAAACAAGATCTAGTTAATTGTGCTAAAGTTTTTAAAGAGAGTAACTGTACTCCACAAAGTGTAATCACCAAAGGAATTCGCTTCCTTCTTTCTGTATGTGGAGCTCCAAAAAAAATTACCTGCTTAGATTAGTTTCGATACTTACCTTTTATAACAATAAACGAGTGCAATTAGCTTTGTAATGTATATGAAGCGAATAAATCACAACTGCGATTGTAACACTTTTATTCTTCCAAGTCTTCTATACAATATATATCTAGCAACGATCACTGTCCGCTTAAATTCTATCCTGCGTGGATTTTCTTTCTGTCTCTACCACACTTTTTCTATATCTACAAAAACTATGTACACCTTAAAAACCTAAAGACACACACACACAATATAAAGTGATACACACACTAACATTCTCTCCCCCTTAAATAAATAAAACGTTCATGGTACAAATCTGTCTGGTTGTTTAATTACTCGTCTTGGTCTTGATTCAATATTAGGCAAAATATCATCTATTATTTGATGTTCTACTGGATTACTAGGTATTATTGTTAACTTGTCCGAGTTTGTACCATGAATGTTTTCAGTCATAAGATGTGTATTCAAATTATCGGAATTATATTGTATAATTTGGTTTAAATGTCTTTTCCACACCTTAGACAACTTAGGTATAAACACTATATAAGTTCTAGGCCCTAACTTGCTTCTAATTACTCCCGAAATCCAATTTTTTTTATTTACATCCCTATAATCTCTTACAGCTACGCTATCTCCTACACTAAATGATGTAATTCTTTTACCATGATAAAATTTTTTCTGTTTACTTTGATTTACACTAACATTTTTCTTTAATTTATCTAAATCTACTTTAACTGGTTCATTATTTTCCTTAATTAAATCTAATCTAGTTCTTAAATTTCTACCTAACAACAATTGTGCTGGCGAATAACTTGTAGTTGCATGTATGGTGTTACGGTAATTTAATAATATTTTATTTAAGATTATCGGTAAGTCTATTGGATTCCGAACGTTGCAAGATTTAATTGCATTTTTTAAATATTTTACCACAATTTCTGCCGCACCATTAGTTGCTGGCGAAAATGGAGGTATGTTTTTGAATTTTATACCATTTTCCCTTAAATAAAGTTGAAACTCATCAGATGTAAAATATCTGGCGTTATCCGCCACTAAATATTTACATAGTCCAAATCTTGCAAAAATATTGCGTAAAACATTTATGATTGTCACAGAAGTCATGTTATTAGTGACAAAAGCTTCCACCCACTTGCTATATGCATCTACCACTACTAAAATATATTTACCTAACAATGGGCCTAAAAAATCGACATGTAATCTTTCCCAACACTGTTCAGGAAATGGCCATGTTATTAAAGAAGCTTTCGGGGGTGTACTTTTATTAGGTAAACAAAATGTACAACTTTTAACTAATTTTTCAATGTCCCTATTCATTTGGGGCCACCATACATAAGACCTAGCTACACTTTTCATTTTCACAGCACCCTGATGTGTGCTATGTAATTCCTTTAAAATTTGTTTTCGGAGATTCTGAGGTATTAACACTCTATATCCAAACGTAATTATGTCATTCTCAAGGCTTAAATTGTTTTTAAATTTGGCATACAGTTTGACATCCCCAGATACTCTCACAGGCCACCCGTTTTTAATATATTGCTTTACCTCCTTAAGTAATGTTTCATTTTCCGTTTCATTTCTAACTGCTTCACAATCAACCGGTAAATCTACGTTATTTTCGACATAATTCAAATATGAATAATTAAAATTTTCCATTAACTCGTTAATAACAGGAAATCTGGACAAAAAATCTGCATTATTTTTATGTGATTTTGTGTATTCTAAATCATAGTTATAACTTGACAATATTAGTGCCCATCGTTGCAAACGATTTGCTGTCATTTGAGGAATACCTTTATTTTTACCAAATATAGTTAACAACACCTTACAATCGGTAACTAAAGTAAATTTTTTCGAGTATAAATATTGATGAAATCGTTTAATACCAAAAATAATGGCTAGTCCTTCTTTTTCAATCTGGCTATAACCTTTCTGTGCCTTGGATAAGGTACTTGATGCATATGCTATTGGCCTTTCATCGCCATTAGGATACATATGGGATAGAACACAACCCACTCCATACGATGAAGCGTCCACAGTTAATTTTATTGGTAAATCTGGATCAAAATGTGCTAACACTATATCTGAAGCTAATATTTCTTTAATCTGATTAAAACTCCTTTTACAATTATTATCCCAATTCCATGTAACCCCCTTCTTTAATAGTCTATATAAAGGTTCTAATAAAGTTGAACTATTAGGAACAAATTTATTATAATAATTTACAAGTCCCAAAAATGATTGCAATTGAGTAATATTTGTCGGATATGGTATAAGTTTAATCGCTTCTACCTTATCCTTACACGTATGTAACCCATTTTTATCTATCTTATGCCCTAAGTATACAACACTATCCTTAAAAAATTCACATTTTTCTTTGGCAATAGTTAACCCAAATTGCTGTAGCTTATTTAAAACTTGCTCAACCCTAGCTAAATGTTGACTACTATTAGTTCCAGTAATCAAAATGTCGTCCAGAAAACATATTACTCCCTCAATACCTTGTAAAACTTTTTCAATTATTTTTTGGTACTTAGCTGGCGCACAACTTAACCCATAAGGCAAACGTTTATAAGCAAACAACCCTTTATGTGTACTTATAGTAGTATATTTACTTGAATTTTCATCTAATAAAATTTGTTGATATGCCTGAGAGAGATCTAGTTTTGTAAACTGTTGTCCACCTTGTAACTGACTGAACAAATCCTCTATACGAGGCAAAGGGTACTGATCAATAAGTAAAACAGGATTCAATGTTACCTTGTAATCACCACATATACGCATGGTACCATCTTTTTTGCAAACAGGTACTATTGGCGTACCCCATTCCGAATAGTCCACTGGATATAGAATGTTTTCCTTGACCAACCTCTGAATCTCCGCTTCCACTTTTTTTCTAATCCCATACGGAATTGGTCTAGCCTTAAAAAATTTAGGCTTGGCATTCTCCTCCAAGTGTAGCTGTATGGTGCCTCCAGTGAATGTGCCTAAATCAGAAGAAAAAACGTTACTATATTTTTTAACTAATTTATTTACTACCTCAGGTTTATTTTTCACTTCAATTTTTGAGTTGGTTGTACCCACTATGGTTTGACCCTCTGTAACCTGTTGAATATTTAATCCAAATTTATAAAAAAAATTCCTACCAAGCAATGGTGGTCCACCGTTTTTAATAACATACACTTCCACTAATTTAATTTGCCCTAAATATTTAATTGGCAGTGTTATATAACCAAGTGGTGTGATAACTTTCCCTACATAATTATGTAGAATCTTATTACTATCCTCTAAAACATATTTATTGAACCATTGCTCTTTAAACTTTTCTGAAATTACACTAACGCTAGCACCAGTGTCAAGTTCAAATTGAAAAGGAATATTGTCCACTTCTACTTTAATCATTAACCTACTTTCCCATCCTTCCTCTAAATTAAATAAACAATCTATATTTAAATCCTCTTCGTCAACATTGACTACATGGTTAATTTGCCTAACCTCACTATCAACATTACCCATTTCTAAATAATTATTCCTATATTTAACATTGCACACTGACTGCAAATGCCCTTTTTTACTACAAATATTACAAGAATAATTTTTGTACCTACAATTTTTTGTAAGATGTCCATATTTTCCACAAACTCCACAAGTTGTTTTCCTGTCACCGGCGACCTTATTCTTGTCCTCAGAGAAGCTGCGCCTGCTCGATCGCATCTGGGTTTGGGTACCATTTGACCTACCGCCGCGTGAGCCGACCTGCCGCTGCTGCCAACTGACACCAGCCGTTCCTCTTCTTCCTCCTCCTCGTTGACCTTCACTTATTTGAAATAAGGAAGTCCCATGATGGCTGCCGACGCCGACTTCCTTCTTCATGGCCTTGAGGATTGCTTTGTCGAACGTAACACTTTCTTCCAGTTCAAAAAATTTGTCCAGAATTTCACCCTTTTCAAAACCGGAAATAAACTTGTCCGTAAGGATTTGATCCCAATCTTTTCCAAATTTGCACTTTGCTCCTAGATTCTTCACTCTAGCTGCCCACTGCGCTACCGTTTCATACGCGTTCTTAGAAGCTTGATAAAATTTGTAACGTTCCAAATAAATGGATGTTGGTTTAATAAAATACTTATCAAAACTTTCAACGAGTTCTTTGTAGGTTTTTTGCTCGGGAACATTCGGAACGCATAAATCTGCTGCTAATTTGTACGCGTCTTCATCAAGGCTTCATCAAGTTCAAGTGTGGTAATCAACTGGACCCAGAAGACTGGGGTTGGAAGTTAATTGATAATACACTGGAGAACCAATCCAGACTTTACGCCCACCTGCACCGGAAAAACTCCTCAGTACAATTTTTTTGCAATTGCTAAAAGGAGTGTAGTGCTAAGTGTGGCTGCAAAAAAGCTGGATTGTTTTGTTCATTAGTATGTACTAGTTGTAAAGGCCAGTCGTGCTCCAATGTTGAGTCGCCATTAGAAGAAGATTTATGTGCGATACATTAAATACAATAAAAACAGATAAACGTATCTAATTTACTAATTTTCGTTTTCTCCTATTTAGAATTATATTTTCCCATTTCGATAATTTCTACTGGAAACAAACAAGAAAAAAGGACGAGTTAAATAAAACTAATTAAAGCATTTTAAAGTACAACATAAATAACGTAATATAATACCAATACACTTCTTAAAATATTTGTGTGTTAAGGGGGCGATTTAGTATGTATATTTTTACCGTGTAACAGAGCTTCAGATGAGGGCACAAATCATCGAAGAAACTAACATAATTGAATATTATTATATATCAATGTATTCGCAATGGTTCCCGCTAGTGAGTGAGATAAATTTCAATGCTCATGAGAACAGAAGAATAATTTAAATAAATGCCAAAGTACCTCAATTTTAACCATACTGTTAGTCTGCCAATATATTCCATTTACAACGGAACTAGGTTAGGCACAATAACCAAACTACTTCACTCACTAGAACGGACACCTAGGATCATTTGTATTTAATTTTCAGATTAATATTTATTAATAGTTCTATAATTTGTGTCCTCAAGTGAAATGACAACATTTTATACACGACTCCATTTTTAATATGTATCTAAACTAGAATTGTCGAGTTTCCTACCTATTCACAAGATATTTTTAATTTCTTTCGATATAATTAGTTTGTACACTCTCTCACAGGTGTCGCTACCCTTGAAAATGAAAGTGAAAACACAGAGTTGGTTTATTATAAATGCGTCCTAAAATAAAGCATAATGGTTTAATATTATCTTTGATATACCTAGTAGTACTAAGTAGTACTAAGTACTAAGTAATGATTTTGTAAAGCTTAAATAGTACGAAAATATAACGCATAAAAAACCAATAATATGTACTAATTTTTCTTTATTAAGAATACAGATTAAATTTTACGTACAGGGTGTCCCACATAAAATCGTTATTTATGTTTAAATAAATTTACAGCTTAAAAATTAGCCTGGCTCAGATAGATTTCTTCTTCAATCTACAAATCTACAAATCTTCAAGCTACTTACCGGTAAGAAGGAAACCACTGGATATTTAATGAAAAAAGTTACGACCAAAAAAATTATACATTCTTGAATATAAATATAACTAACACGATTTTAATTTCATATTGTCTTGACAATCAACTTTTGCTTATTTTTAGTCACTTACTATCGAAATAAATGAAATAAACCTCTGAGTTTGGAAACCGATATTAAGAAAACGTTGGGGCAAAAAATTTGAAATTTGGACCATATATAGCCTCACTATTACTCTATTGTGTGCTAAAATTTCAGTTGGTTTCGTTATCCCATTTGTTAGTTATTAATGAAAATGTTGAAAAAATCACGGTTTTCTGCATATAAAATTATTGGTACCTCTCACTTTAACTCGTCGTAATTTTTTTGTTAACTGATAAAAAAAATCCAATTTTTACTAACGATAAGTCGAACTATTGCCTTTAATACTGTAAAGGTCATTTGTCTCAAAAGGTCTTCTTTTTTTATTTTTAAGTGAAACATAAGGGAGTGCTATCTCCGTAAATATGGCATTTTTTAAAAAAAAACTGACAGGTAGCAAATAACTGTAAACAACAATTTGAAAAAATATGTTAAAATAATACAGTTATAAATATGATATTCTTAAAAACAGTATCGGAATGGTCAATTACGGTCACGGTCCGATGCAGAGTATATAGTATAGCCTTTATAACTGTATTATTTTAACAAATTTTTTCAGATTGTTGTTTACAATTATTTACTACTCGAGTCAGTATTTTTCTTTTTTTAAAGAATGCAATATTTATGGACCCCCTTCTGTTTTGCTTAAAAAAAAAAAAAAAGATCTTTTGAGACAAATGACCTTCACAGTACTAAAGACTATAGTGCGACTTATCGTCAGTAAAAATTTGAATTTTTTTTATCAATTAACAAAGAAACTTACGGCGAGTTAAAGTGAGAGGTATCAATTTTATAGGCAGAAAACCGTGATTTTTTCAACATTTTCAATAACTTAATGGGATAACGAAACTAACTGAAATTTTAACACACAATAGAGTATAGTTTTTCCGAAGTCAGTTGAACATGCATAAAAAAACAAGCAATCAAATTGAATGAGTTTCATGGGCGTCCCTAAAAAAGTTTTCTGCTAAAGGTAGAAAATTATAATAATTTGTATATAATGTGTAGAAAATTTTTATTATATGTTCATTTGACCAACAACATATTTTAATTATTTATGTCCTCAAACAATTTTATTATATTGATGGTAAATTTCATTTTGTTCCGTTTCAAAAGGTCTCCAAAATGCCATGTTGTGATAATATTAATAAACAAAATATCCCTCTTATTTCTCCCTTTCGCAATTGTCATATGAATGATTGATAGAAGGTACCTATAGTAAATTAAAATTATCTGAATCACATCAAATTCCGCATTCCCGCACTGCACTGCCAAGCTACTTGTCTAGAACTGAAATTCACGACGCAGTTGACCGAAGCAACTGTATGGGACATTATTTGCCCGCACGCGCATTCTTCAACTGGGCGTATACATTTCTACCAGCTGCACGTTTAGTCCCACCAGACCTCTGTATGGGTATGGCTAAATAAATATGGGAACAAGTTTTTCAAATATTTCAATGCCGAGTTGCTGCGTAGGGACCGAGCCTGGTGCATACCTTGAATGTATGGTTCTTCAATTGACTTTTTCAAATTTTTCACCCTTATGCACCCTTATGAAATTATATGTACCTATATTATTTACCAGTAATTATATTCCAGTCCAACGGTATCTTGCTCAGTCATTTTTTGCAGTGGGAATCATTATATTGGAATTAGATAAGAACAATTTCTTGACGGTCTTACCTGCTAGGGGAATTCCATTACACATCTTGTTAATAATAACTTAAAATTTTAATAATATTTCCCTGATAGATACAATAATAATATATAATATAATATGTTATGCCTATACAATTTAGGGTGGGCCACAAAAAAAACGATTATTTTTTTTTCGTGTCTCCTGTGAAAATATATTAGTTTATCATGTTTTAAGAGCCCCCTCAAAACGTCAGGTCAAAGAAAAAATTTTTTAGAGGTCGTTCAAGATTTTTAAAAATGTCCAAAATCGTCAAATTTAATTTTTTTGTGTTTAATTTTTTTCCCGTTTTTTTATCATTTTCTAGGTTGAAAAAAATCTCGATTCTGAAAGTTTCAAATCGATATTTTAATTTCTAAAGGTCACTCATAATTATTTTAATTTTCAAAGTAGTGTATCTATGTTTTCGAGCGATCTCTAAAAAATAAATATCAACGAACTAATAATTTATTTTTTATTGAATTGAAATTGAAAGATAAAAAATTCAATTTTTGACGATTTTGGAAATTTTTAAAAATCTTGGAACCTCTAAAAAAAATTTTTGAGCTGATTTTTTGAGGGAGCTCTTAAAACATGATAAACTAACATATTTTCACGACACAAAAAAAAATCTTTTTTTTTGTGCCACCCTACTATACATATTATTCTCCAAACGTAATTAGTAGCAAGTTAGTATAAGTATATATAAGTAGCTATATATTTTAGTAATTAGGCAGTGTTTTTAAATTAATACGACTCACCAAAGTAAAAAAATAATTCAAGTTATATCATTTTTACTGAAAATAGCAGTTAATTTACGTATCGGATCGTTAACGTGAAAATATAAACATTAGACTGTTGACTGTTCCTGTTATACGTTTTTTAAGCTTTTGAAGAAGAAACTACATGTAATTTTAAAAATTATATCTGCTTTTATAATAAAGGAATGGTAATTATAAGATTGTTTAACCTTATTAACTAAAAATTATTGCCTACTTAATAAAAAAAATATTATTGTCCTCGATAATCTATTAATGATTAATAAAATCTTTACTCTCTTTCCTTATAAGATTGTATGTACACAAATTGGAGCCGCTCCTGAAAAATCGAGCCGTTTACGTCCAGCGTTTATTATTAGACTTCGTCGTTCGGTTAAAAAACACACCTTGAAGCGTTGGCCGCTAGAGCAGCACCTGCCGGGGTCCCGTTTCGTGACTCACGCTGGGCGATATTTTTTGTACAAAATCCCGTCCTTAATCCAAATAATATAATTAATTAATTAATAATTTTATTTACATACTTCTGTACTTCTTTTACCTGATCCTTAATGAAAGAACGTATCATGACATTTGAGATTAAAAAAAAATGTTCAGTGCCCTTTGAACTTCGATTTATGTACTCGATTGTCAAAAACATTAATTAAAAGGGAAATTCAGATTTTTTTGAAAAAAAAATCATGTTTTAAAAAGTGCTGAATCTAGTTCCAATTATACAAACTGAACTAAACTGCTTCTTTCAAATAGTAAAACTGCATAAAAGTTAATAAAACAATTCGTCTTTTCTATAAAACTTGTTTACTTTTTACTATTTACGTTTTATATCCTAATTTATTCGTGGTAAAAATACAGTTTAGGGCATCCTACACGCTACATTTTTTCTCTAAGAAAAATAGTTCGAATCACTTCGATTATTATTATTACCAGATATGCCTTTTAAATAAACATAATGTTTTTTAAATTTTGGTTGATTTTTCGACAATAAATATTTTTATTTTCTATCAAAAACCATCTCCGACTTAGGTATGTTCCTTGTGCGACCAGGGCTATGACCTAAAGTTGCAGGAACTTTTTTTTTCACTTTTGATAGCAAAATCTGCCTCTTAGGCTTCATAACAATTTTAATGCACACCCTTTACTATGACAAATTAGAAAACAGTTGGTTATTGACTTCTAAACCAGAACTTCCTTTTATTTACATTACATCAAACTTTGCTCATCTGAAAAGATTTGCGGTACGTCATTTGTGACGATTTGTGCTTAAAATTAATTCCCCTGCGCAGCCCTGAAGTAAAGTTCCTCTAAATTGGGATACTTTGTATAATACACCAGCAAATACGAGCTTTCAGTGCCCGATTCTGGGACGGAGTGCTGACTTTTCCTGAATTATTGCCTTAATTTACGGCAAAGTTATTGCTTCTGCGGGGCTCTTACCCACCATATTTTACACGGAGCCAGCGCAAATAGGATATGCTAAAAACTATGCACATTAATAATTGTTAATGCATCAAGATTATCTCTGTAAACATGTTTGCCGCGGACTCTTAAACGGGTTAATTTATGTGCATACATTCCTTTTAAATTCAGTCATCTTGAATGAAGAAACATCAGGGATTTTGGCAAGTTTACTTTTCCAGAAGATTGGGTATACGGATATAAACAACAACAACATACTAAAAACGATGATTTTAAATCAGAGCAGTTTGTAAGTAACTTACCTCTGCATCGTTAAAAACTTTCAAAAACGTGCTGGAAATTTAAAATATGGAGCAAAAAATAAGATATGTAAAATAACTACTATATTCATTCAACTCAATATTAACGGAGTTACATAACTTCAAAGTTGTTATTACCCAAATAAATACAACTAGTACCACATTTTACGTATGCACTCTGATGTTAACAAAACAAACTTATAGACCTCGAAGATGCAAAGACTAAGAGAGATACCCGGAACCATATGATGACACGTGGAGAGTAAACAGCGTATTTGTGAATATTGTCTCTGTCGGACGAGCAATTTCATTCATAATGCTAATTTATTTTTATAGATTGGCTAAGTGGTGTACATTTCATATTTGTATTACGTATGTTTGTGATTGACCTATAGAATTTTTTTTATTTCTGAGGTTATTGACTACATAGCCATACAAAAAAAAGTTGTCTGTACTTTTCATGCGACATATGTTATCCGTAGTATTTTCGCCTCCTGATCACATCACAGGAATTTCCTAACCTAAAAAAACAGGTTAAAAATAGCAAAAATTCAAGAAAAAGTGCTAGGAAAAATACAAAAATTTTTTTTCTATATTCAAATAATAATAATATCTCTACTCCTCATTCTAATTACGAGAATTAGCCCAGAAGTCGGAGACTTTTGCGGGAGAGGAGGCGGCATATTATTATTACGCAGGCCGCATTTGCGCCCAGGAACTTATGTTGGTAGGCCCTAACCATCATTCAGTGCAGGAATGAGGGAATCCTGGAAAATTAGGGGGGTGGTCAAATGCCAACCGGTGTCAATCTCTCACATTGACCAAAGCCAACATTCTTCCACCCTACCATACCTGCACAGAGGGCGCCAATCCTCCGTACAAGTATAGATAATCTACGGTCACCGGCCGCGGGATTCGAAACCCGGGCAGTTCGACACATCGATTCAAGTACTGACGCCTTAAACCGTGCGGCTATCAAATATTCATTTATATGGTTAAGACCTCGCCGAACGTGAATTTTTGGTCAGAATAATTGATGGTTCTTTTTCTAACCTTAAAAAAACGGGGCAATTAAGGTCAGATATCACGAATTTCCAAAAAATAACAGATTCGCGCCAAATTTGGTATACGGGAGTTTCCTGGATCACTGATCACGGATCCGAGGTGAATTTTGCAAAATTCAAGATGGCGGATCCAAGGTGGTCGATCAAATTTTCAAAAAATAACATATTCGCATTAAATTTGATATATAGGGGTTTTCGGGTCGATGATTACCAATTCGAAGTCAGAAATGCGAAACCATTTTGTAATATTTTTGTTTACTTTATAATCTGAGTAACCAATTATGTTTTAACTTTCTTAAAGTACATAGGTAATTGGTAATTTTCGATGCGATTTTTGTAAATCTGATCTCAAATTCGTGATCATTGACCCCGAAAACCCCCGTATACCAAATTTGGCGCGAATGTTATTTTTTGAAAATGTAGACAGCCATTTTGGATCCGCCATCTCTAATTTTGCAAAATTGACCTCAGATCCGTGACCAGCAACCCCGAAAACACCCGTACACCAAATTTGGCGCGAATCTGTTATTTATCTGACCTTAATTGACTAGTTTTTTTAGGTTAGAAAAAGAACCATCAATTCTGACCGAGGATTCGCGTTCGGTGGGGTCTTAATCATATAAATAAACAATTGAATATAGCAAAACAATTTTTTTGTATTTTTCCTAGCATATTTTCGTGGATTTTTGCTATTTTTGACCTATTTTTTTGAGGTTGGGAAATTCCTGTAATGTGATAGCTCAATTCTAATACCGGATTCGTGATCAAGGGGCAAAAATACTAATAGTTGTACCTAGCAAATTATTGCCAAGTAATATATCAGAATCCCGCAAAGATTCTGAAAAATCTGCACGAGAATTGCCAAATTATATTGATAATACTGAAGAGTATTAGCATAAACTTTATGACGTCTCCACGTGACGTCATGCGTCAAGCGAATCTTATGTCGTCAGTGCCCACTACTCCTTTAATACATATTTTCCTTCTATTCTTCTATACATTATCATTGTTATATTCTTCTCTCACCTTCACCACTGCATAGATTTATGTAAACAAAATTCCTAAATAAATATTTTAATTCACTTACACAGAAACTATATAAAAAAGTTAGTTAAAACATATCTAACAGATGAAATATTTTAATATATTTTAATTCTATTGTTAGGTTAGATTATGATTTCTTCTTTTTTAACTGAAATCTGAAACTCTGGCTTTACGAGGTTCTTGCCCTTCTTAAAACAATTACCGGCTAAAAGCTAACAAAAAGTGTCGCAGATCCTTTCCGAAAACAATGTTGTAAAAGCTTATCATCCGGCAGGTACACAGCGTTAAAACGAGAACTTAATAGCTTATTTATTAGCAGACCGTTTATTCAGCCGGGCAATTTTATTTTTCACCATGAATATTCATACTCGTTTAGGAGTTAATTTAACTACCAGTATTTTACGCCGAATTCCGGCAAGCTGGATGGCTAACAG